ATACTTTCGTTAGCTACTATAATATTATAAAATTAAAGAAGGAATTTAAATGCCTTACAAATAAATGAAATCACTGGCTTGATGACACCTCTAATAGCGCAAAATTCTTGTTATGGTTGGTATTTTCTAGAATTTATAGCCGCCAGTTACAAAAAATACAATTAATAATATAATATAATTTTTATTTTGCACAGCTGTCATTTCAATTTATAAGTACTCTATATAGGCAAAATAAAAAAATATTATTTTATTTATTTAAATTCTAGAGAAACTCATTTACAAATACATGAAAAATAAAAAACGTATTAACAACCATGTTCAAAAAAATAAAAACAATGAGAAGTAATAAAATACAAAAGTAATTAATTAGTTATAGTGAAAACCGTACATATAAAAGACAAACAATGAAAAGCAATAATAATTATAAATTTAAATATTCGCGTGAAATGCGATTAATTATTACTTCTACAGTAATAAAATTGTTTTCATTACCGTCAATATTTTTTTGATAACAATTGATTACATTATGATGAAACAAAAAAGTGATAATAAAATATTATATCATTGTTACAGTTATTTTTTTATATGTACAGTATTATTAAATTTAAGCTCAAGTAGAAAAAATAGATAGAATACAAAAAAATAATACTAAACAATTTGCAAATATAACAAGTATTTCATATTAGGTCAGACTTAACATAGATTCATTAGAAAAAAAGGTGGGCGGGTAAAATACTTTAATCAAACTTTAAATGGTTAATAGAGACAATTTCTGCGTATATTCGTTAGATTGAGGCCACGAAATCGCAAATAGTAAGAAAAATGCTAGCGATAGGACATAACATAACGTTGGCCCGTTTGGAGAACGGATTTTTTAAATACTTTAACGATTATAGAACTTCAAATATAAGGTCTAAGACAGGCGATAAAAAAATGGATATTTTTTCAAGCGAGAAACCTAACTCAATTATTCGGTCGAATAAATAAATTTAAGTCGATTATAAAATTATAAAATATTCAAGTTGTTTATTATAAATAAAATATTTCTTATTTTGGTATGCCAGGGCTAATGGCTGATTTCTGAAATATTTACACTGTACTGTAAAGGTTTCACCGACGAAATGGCGTTGAAATAATAATAATATGTGAAAGCCAAATTTGTTAACCATTAAAAATTACTGTGCGGTAGAAAATAACCGGCTTGGTGTTTAATGTTTACACTGCGGTATAGTAACAGTAATTTGAAAAAAAAATAATGTTGTATATAGGCGACTCGTTCTGCTCATCCTACTTAAAAATGATTACAGCGTCGACGCCGCTTTGTTAATTTTAACGTTACATTATTTCCCCAGTGAGGTAAAACGCGTTGCCGCACGGTATATAATGAGATAACCCAGCTGTAAACTTATCCTTTGAAGTCGATTAATGATGGATCGATCGGCCGAAGGGAATTGCAAAAGAAAACGCGGCCAAACCGTTATTGTTATTATCATTATTAATATTAAAACGTTTATCAGTCTAGTGTAGCGCAAATAGCCGAGTCTGTTGTCTACGGTCACCGTTCTAACAATAAAGACCTGCCAAATAGAACAACGTACAAGCCATTGGACCCATGTAATGTCGTTCAAAAGGTTTATAACAAAAACCTTTCAGTCGGTGTATAGGTTTTAGGTGAAAAATATTTTCTCAGATCACCGTTTTTGAAATATCTTATTTTTTTTCGCTCATGTTAAAAAGAACGAAACAAGAATATAAATAAAATATTCAAGCATTAAAGAACAATATAATATACCTAGTGCAAAGAAAACCTTTTAGTTCATTTATCCACCTCGCAGTGAATTTTCTTCTTTTCAGTTTATTTTTTCGTTTATGACAAATATGTACTTACAAATTCTACGAATCAATTTGCAAACGTTTAACATAGAGAACAATTGGGTTTCTGAAGATACTTATTGCTATTACAATCTATTATTTATTTTATACTAAAAGTACACAGTAAATTTCACACAGTAAATTGTATTCAATTGGTTAGCAATAGAAATTTTTGTCTAATAACAAACGAGTTAGTTTGCCAAAACTATTTGTCTTTCAATTCTAAACATCTCCAAAATAAATATGCATAATTTACATTTTTATGAGTTATAACGATTGTATAATGTACTTAAACCGAGACTCGCCACTAGCCAAGACTTTACGAAGATGGAACATAATGGTGTTATGTGTCGCTAATACGAAATAATATTATAGCATTTTGTACAGACAGTAGTTTTATTATGTAAATAAATGAAAGATCGTATACATTACACAACGTCTTTTATAATCATAATTATATTTTTTCTTGTGGATTTTGTAAATATCCAACCGTAATTTGAATCTAAACAATACTGTAATTAAAAATGATAATATTTTAATTGTTACTCTTAATATATTTTTTCACCAAAGTTATACCAAATGAACTGACTTTCCGTAAGTAAGCAAACTCTGTCTGTAGCTATTAAATACAACTGTACCTTTGAGTAATTTAATGTTTAATTAACTCTGGAATATTAAATTTTCGCAAGCAACAAAAAGGAAATGTATTTTAAAAATCTTTATATACAATTTGCATGCTACACTGGCCATTGCAATATACATATTTCGTTTATATATTTAATGCTTTATTTGTTAAGTAATTTTACATTTTTTGTAATTACAAATTTCCTATTATTTTCCCATTTTAGTTTGACATTTTTATAATATTTGTGCCAAAAATACATTTTAATTTCTGTTACTAAAGTAGCAAAAAAGTTGGGAATCATTATTACATAACTTACTATTGTGTACAAGTTAACTGCAAAGAACATACACTATTTTAAATTATTTGTTGGTATTTCAATAAAATGAAAGTAATTAGTACCTATTAAATAATAATTAAATTTAAGCGAAAAAATAAACATAATATAAGTTAATTTCAGCAAATATATAGATAATGGTTATGCTACCACTTAAAGTAACTAAATTAGTTGAGCTTATACTAGATAGTGATGTGAATTTCTGAGCATCAAAATATGTAAAACAACTCATGAATAGTTTTATTTAATATTCCATACTAAAATTTGTACATATAATCGTATAGTTATAAGAATAATACGTGATTACTTAATTAGAACAAATCAAAGTACAGCCAATATAAGAATAACATATTATAGTCGTGCATTGTCCTTGTATAGTTTTTCATAATAAGGAATAATCAAATCCAATACATAATAAAGTTGTTAAAGATAGTTTCATAACTATTTCAACTAACGTTTAAATAAAGTTGTAAGACGTTGTGATGGTCCATCGCGGTAATGACGGTAAACGCATTTTAATACTAATAATAATTAATAAGAACTGTACATCTAAATTACAAAAATTGGTACCCTGGGGCTATTTTCAAAAAATGTAGAGATTAGTAATGGTTGAATTATAACTTACCAGACTTATATATAACTCTATAGTAAATTATTATTTATGAGCTTGAAAAATATGTAATAATAAATTAACCTTGGAAATCTTAAATGGGAAACTATTCACCACTTTTCAGAAAGAAGAAAAAGTATACAACTGTTGAGTTAATAATTCAGAGGGTGGGATTTACTTTTTGGTTTGCAATACTTGAAAATCTGACCGTCTCTCTATCTCCTTAACGTGTCAAACTTGCATCAATTTTTAAACATATGAAATATTGATTTGAGGACAAATGAAAATATACGTTAAGACTTTATATACCTGAGTACCTTTACTCCTGTATATAAGATCACACATAATTTAGATGTAATATTATTTTAGTTTCGATGAGAGCCTGAGAATTTGTTTTTATACATAGCCTAAATTCGGTTGTAGGAGTTTAATCGTTCCTAAGAAATTTTTATTTTTTTTGTTTAGTTATAAAAGAAATATCTACTCGTACTTTAAAAATGTTACTTTCTGGGTAAAGTGGCATCCCTAAACCTCATCATTTAAAATATGCTAACTGTATTCAACCAAGAATAGCAATCTAGTTAAATATCGCGTTTGACATGAAAACATCATCATTGGTTTACCGCTTTAAAAATTATATCATTATTATAAAGCAAACTATTGTTAATTGTTTCGATTAACAAAATATTATACCTATATTTGATAAAACCATTTAACATTATTTAGTCATTAATAAATATTTTATAAAATTTATAATATTGTTTTTAAGACTGTGACATTATAAATGTAAAAGCAAAAAAACGTTATTCATTATATTAATAAAAATGATTATGCAAAATTGATAAAGTAGCAAACATTTTTTAATTACAAATTAAGATTTTTATTAATATCGAATTGTAAAATCATCACAGTAATAATTGATTTTATGAACAATAAATATCTTTCATTTTAAACAGTTTTAAAAAATGATATTACTGTAGTTTTTCGTTGAATGTGGATATGTTTTTTTGTCCGTTTAAATGTTTTGTGTAAACAAATTGAATGATGAGATATTCAAATTAATTTTATCAACTAGATTTTACTGTTATTTTAGTGGCTATAAACCTGAGGTTCTTGTGTATATTTTAAGACATGATTATGCATTTAGCCACTAAATAGTGTTTGAGTTTCGTTGAAAAATAGTAGAAATATTTATTTCAGTCTATCTACATAAATTATAATGTAACAATTGAATTATACTATATTATAAATCTACTTATAAGTATAACTAGATGTTTTCATAATACACATTTACAATGATAATGTCTAGAAATAATTTAGACGACCGATCAGTTGTATATAATTAACACTTATTCATGTGATTGAGACTTATATTAATGGTTATTTTGCCTATCCCCGGATAGTGTTACAAATAGGAACAAATGGTCAAAAATTATTATTCTATAAACAATAACGTTATACCATACAAGTTACGGTATTGCAAATGAAATTATTACTATTTACTCATTACTTCACGAGTCTCATTAATTCTGTTAATTCGTTGTTGTTTTTGATTACAGAAACATTCGAGTTTGATGAAAGATCTGGTGGTCACCAACAAACTAAAAAACGGTAAGCGTACTTACCTACTATTAGTTTAGCACTTGTTCGGCTAACGAGCGGTCGAAACCAGCAGCGCACCGAGTGATATCCGATGTACACACATCATACATATATATATATATAAATATACATTTATATATATATATTATGCTGTGTGTAATTATGTTATTTTATTGAATCCAAACGAATTGCAAACGGGAAGACCGAGTAAACGATGGCCTATTCTCAATAATGGTGTTCACGGCGGCTCTTAATTGTTAATGTATTCAAAACCCAATTCAGCTCGGACGCGGTTAGTAGTTGTTTTCAACGGTGTTTACAGAATTGTTTTAATGACTTTCGTCCGGAGCGTAGTTTTACCTGAATATATTTTATAGGTTCAGGTAAGACGTTCAACAGTGGTGAACTGACAATCGGATAAAGTAAATGCGGTCGGCCTGTGAGACAGTTGTAAATTATTATTATTACTGTTATTTTCAAAAGTTGCGACTCGCGTCCTCGATGAGACCTGGCTATGACCCTGCGACGCCCATACCGTGTAAAGCTACCCTGCGGGACGACCACTGAGCAATTGTTGCGTTGACCTCGGCGAGTTCACCGCATTATCCCTTAATTTCGTGACGGTTTTGTTAATCCCTCTCCTTGTCCCTGTAGCCGGCAGTTGTTCTCGGCAAGACTTTAAAACAAAACACAATGTATATATTTGTTAAAAAAAAATCTTTCAGACAAGAATAAATTAAAGAAAGGACACGAATAAAAATCCTTTAATTTATAACGTAGCCTCGAGCGCATTTGTTTTTGAAGTTATATTAAGTTTTGCAAAGCTGGAAAAAAAATACTCAGTATCAATCTCGTTTTGAATTTTTGTAGGTATTTTTAAATGAACAAAACCAGTGGGGGTTAGTTCGTTTTGAAAGTATTGCTCAAACGATAACATCAAACGAATACAGAATTAATAAAAAATGAATTAAATAATGAACAAAAACTATTAAAAATAAAACCGAATAACGTATTAAAAATGACAAAGAAATTCACCTATGGCACTTTTGTGCTAAGCCATCGGTAAATAAAACTAATTTTTTACTAATTTTTCGTCTAATTAATGTTAACTTATTTGGTTATTAAAAAAATACCATTTTAACTTTGCATTTAATGGTTTTCAAATAAATCATTGTATTTTATCAAATAACAGCAAAGACAAAAAGGCCAATTTTTATTTTTGTTTCTTAAATTGAATTATACAAATTATATTCAGATATAACTGTAATAAAGCAATAATATTTATCCATCAATAGAGAAAATTGTATAACCTTTCCTATATTTATGCTATAAGACTCTATCAATTTTTGCCAAACATTGCCGTTATCACTTAAGGCTTAAAAAACAATTTTTGTTTCCCTCAAATGAATAAAACTGTATTATTTCGACAATATAATTTATTATATTTACTTAATGCAGTTATTAAAAAAAAAAAAAGATCTATATCGTGAGTGCGTGTGTTCATTATGTGTATTCTTAAGATAATTTAAACTGTGCGCATAACCCATTCCAATAACCAAATAAAATATTGCTCGAAAATATGCTTGTTGTTGCTATTAACGAGTGTTTTACTTTGAACACGTACAAAATATACAATTTCCTTTGAAATATTATTTATTTGTTTCAGGCTTAGCTAGTGGAAATTTAACCAAGTGTCAATCTCCTCCACCGGTAATGAACCCAATTCGAAGAACGGTTACCCCAGATAATCCTGATCCGGCAGAAATAATTACAGAGGTAACATAGAGAAAAATTTAATTATAAATTTTGAATTTTGCTAATACCAACATACCTCGTCTTATACCAAATATAATCTTTATAAAGTCGATAATTCGCATTTAAGTCAAAACTTATAGACATTATATACCTATTCATAGCTCAACACGGTTAATTGTTTGGACGACTTAACTAAAATAAAATACACCAATATCAGTCAATGTGTAACAATAAAATCTATAACTAATTTTATTTACGTAGTTTTCTTTTTTATTATTAGAGTAGTTTCTTCGAACTTGATATTAATCTGCGAAAATAAGTATAACTTTTACTTACTATGTTGAATTTCAACCAAACAATATAATATAATACATCAAATAAATTCAATATTAAACAATAAAATACGTTATAGTAGTTTTGGGTTTTTTTCTTTAAGACCAGATTCTGCTGCGCGGTTGGGGATATGACATTTTTTTTTCTGCCAAGCGTTTTTGAGGAATGCCCAGCAGACAACATTGCAATCATATTTTTTTCGTCTTCTTCTTGGTATCATAGTATTGTATATTTTTATATTACACCAAATAACAAAAAAAAAATCAAATAATAGTGAGGATATAACATACAAGGGGTCATTGGTCTTTAGGAATTATTATAACTGTAAGTGATAAAATCACTAAAAAACATTATCAGAAAATCATAAAAGAAATAAATATTCGATATCTACGCGTTATTATCACTTACCATACTAATAAATATACTTCATTATTCAAAATAACTAACGATCTGACTTATTATTTCGTCATCTCACTCGATTTTATGTACATAATATATTAAATTGGAGTAAATGCTTTTGTCTTAACGATGCATGTTTGTATTTATAACAATACCATTAGTCTAATTTTGGGTTCACAAACATTAAAGAATACTATACTATTGTCATTATAATTAATAATTATTGATTTTAATAGACAATGGTAATTAGATTCATTTTATAATAATTATTATTGACCTTTGACATAATATCCTATTTTGCCACTAGCAACCGCAATATAAACAATAATAATTATCATTCGTTTTCATGACGTCGTATAACAAAAAAAAAAAAGTTTCAAAGGTTCAAAGAGAGAAAAACGAATATATTCTCAAAAAAATGTGTCAAAAGTGATTTTGATTTAAACTATTGTAGAGGTAAAAACGGATCGTCGCTTTTTAGTTTTTTTATCGGTCTCGAGACGGATTGGACTAGTACTGAACGTCAATAGGGCATCGACAATCTCGAACCTCCCGGTATCATAAAAATGTGATAGAAAATAAATAGGATTTTTCTGAACACCAAATAAATAAATAAATATATATATATATTTATATAGTTTGCTACTACCTATTCTTAGGGAATGGATTCTGAAAGTCGATTCAGTTTTATAACACAAGCTTTTGTGTAAGGTCATATATTTGATAAGCCATTGCGGACCCTAACAATCCATAGTGGCATTGTTTAATTTTAATAGAATAAAGCTAAAATTCCTTGGAAAATAATTAAATGTTTCTGTACATCACGAACAAATACTTGATTAATATTACATTCGACACCAGAAAACGTTAATAAAGTGTAAATAAAATTGTATTCTAAAAAAAGATTATGCTTATTACATTTTTCACCAAACTTTAACGAAACATTAATATTTTCTAATCTCTGTGTAGGACATGATATTATTTATTTCAAAAACTTTTCACAATTACCTTAACTTATTACTACTTACTTAGGTATTATTTGTTTATCGCTCACTCACTGTGATTCTGTTGTAACATATTAGTTGTGAGGTTTATTTTAAATATGCGAGTGCCAATTTTTTAATGTAGATATCAAATGAGATACGATACCACATTTTTACTAGTTATATTAATTTCAATATCTGTATAATAAGGGAATAATAAAATTAACATGTTACAAACAAAAGAAAAGTATATACTACAGATTACGAAATAAAAAAATAAGAATATTAAACACAAATGTACGGCGGTTTTTGTACGCGTTAATTTGTAACATCTAACACGAGTAAAATAAAATATGAAAATATTTATCGCCCAAAGCGATGGTACATCTATCGCATCATCATCATTTGTGTTTTTAAACCCGGAAACCAGAACTTTGTCACTAGAATTCTATTAATACATTTCTTCTACTGCACGATATCACGATCATTAATTATTGTTACTATTTACCTTGCCGTTAACGTTTTGCAAAAGACCGAACTGTGCAATTGAAAACTGCTTAGACTTGTTTCCCGACATAATTGCTTTTAGATTGACCATAAATAAGAATAAAAAAAAAAGGGAATTATGGTCCTCAATACCACCACGTTCCCTTCCTCGGCGTGAACACCTGACAAAGCAGACATAGTAGATTCCTAATAATAATATTTTTATTCATATAATTTACCATTGTTTAAACTCTAAGACAATAAGACCACCTAAAACTTGAATAATGTTACGTAGTGCACTAATTATAGCAGTTATTAGTTAATTGATATAAAATAATAAATAAAAGTGTAAAAATGTCGGTTGTCTAACAAATAAAAAAATTTGAATAGAATAGTACATAAGTAATTAATTTGTATGCTCTCCAAACATTGTTCGTACGACATACCATTGGGTACATTATTTATATTTTATAATCAAATATATAAACTAAACTTGGGTCTGGGAATAATTAATAAACTATCCAAATTCATTTTAAAGTTTTCAAACCAACAACGCATATGTTTCTCTTCACATAATATAACTATAAAACTATGCTAAAACTAAGCACATTTATGGCATACCTACCTGTTATTAGAACATTAGTTTATACATTTAGTTCATAGTGTTTAAGTTACTTATTTTTATTGCAACGTTTAGTATCATAGTTTTTATTAACTCATTGGTAATAATTTGTTTTTTTTTTTGTTCGCCTAAAAAAATAATTTGATTTATCTTGTGATATTTTTCTTTCGTGTAATGCATTATTTTTTTATTGTATTATTTATTACTACTTTTTTATTATTTTCATGAAACATTAATGAGCATTTATATAAATGGTCGAAAAGACTACGGTAATTTACAAGCTGACTTACAAAGAATACTAAAAAAACAATTATAACATTAAATTATAATATTTTGATCCGAAAACTAATATTTAATATCATGTCTTTTGTTTTGCTCAATATAATTAATTGTTTCTTAAGAAATTATCATATCTTTATATGATATTCTTCTATCTAGTTAAACACTAGGTAGTCAAATATTAATCTCTACGAGTTCATTAAATTACAATGGCCTATTTCGAGCGTAGATAAGATGAAAAATGTATTTTACTTTTGTTCGTTGTTTTTTTTTTTTAATTACGGTTGTTTTAAATATAAATATTTACCAAATGATTAAACCGCTATAGTGTTATCTCTAGATACGCTTTACCCTAGTCGAAACTTATCTATTTCAGTATTAATAATATTCGAACTTTTCAAGGAACAACAAACTTTTATAGATAATTATAAAACGTTATAGTTGGTCGCGCTAAATTATGAGTAGGTATAGTGAATTTTGACAGAGAGACGGATGGCGCAGTCGTTTATTGTGCAACGTCACCAGATAAGATTTCTCTGAGCGAGTTCACGACACCGTGTCGGCGATAAACACACAAACACACAAAACGTTGACTAATTTTTAGTTTTGGTCGTAACCGCCATGCCCGTAGTCGTGTATCAATAATAACAGCACGGTATTGTGTACAGAATATAACCTATGATGTAAAGCCTATATCGTATTTGCGTAGAATCCCAGCATGCCGATGGCCAGGGCGGGTTGGGTGTTGCGCACGCTGTTGCTGAGCGACCAGAACACCGTGCTCAGGGACAGAAAGACCGGCGGCGGGAGATCCGTGGTCCGGAGATGCGCTTCCGGTAGCGAGCTCATCGACTGGCTGATGAACCTTGTGTCCACCGACCACGATTCCTTCAGTAGGCACGACGTCGTGGGTATGTGGCAGGCGCTGCTCGAGGAAGGAGTCATCTTCCACGGTGAGTATATAAGTACAAAACACTCGACCAGGTCGTAGCACCCGTGCGTATGTTAAATGACAATAATTTGTATTGTACTGTTGAATGTCCATCATATCTAGCCACGGGGGAACATCCGTTCAAGGATAAATGTCTATTCTACAATTTCTGGCAGGACAGGGAGGGCGCGTTGAACACGCCCAACATACAGGACGTGGCCGAAGCCGAAGAGCATCTCGACGACGCTCTGCAAGATTTAGTGTCGCGAGGTCCGGACGCGCACCTTCGGATGATTTTGCGGTCGCCGTGAGTAGTGCTTTCAGCTGATCGCCGTTATATAATATAGTTAAAATGTTTAAATCTAAGCACGGCCATTGTGTGTGTGTGACTTTGTAGAAGCTCGGAACGAACTCCCGAAGACTTGGAACTGATCTACGAAGAACTGTGCGTGCAACGGGCTCTCGCTCACCTACCCAACACGGTGAAACGCGAACTGGCGTCCGTGGTGGTATTCGAGGCTCATCCGAGAGCCGGTCATGTGTGTAAGTTGAAAAAGTCACGTGCTAAATCTAATAAAAGGGAAAGGGAAGGAGGGCTGGAGACGCGCCGGGTTTGTTATGCGTATAAGTCCTTCCGGGCCCGGGGGGATTTATTCAACTGGAAACAAGGTTTGCGTTTGAAATTTCTCCTTCGATTATTCACGAGTATTCGACAAACCGTAAACGTGAAAACAATAGCGTGGCACTGTAAACAATCGGATTCCGTCGAAAATCCATCAATATGCTCAACAACAGTAATACACCATACTGATTATACATGTTATTTCGACAGTGTTTCGTCAAGGGGACGAAGGCAAAGCGTGGTACATAATCATGCAGGGTGCCGTAACCGTAGAAACGTACTCCAAGGGTGCGGTGGAAACGCTGTACGACGGTGAAGACTTTGGCGGTTTGGCGATCATACACAATGTCCCCAGGTATGTAGCTAAGCCGTTTGAAATACAATCAACTAAACGATAAGTCACCATCAAGCGAAATAGATTAATTAATTTACCCCGTCTTTCCTTTCGCTACAGATCGGCCACGATAACCGTCAAAGAGGACAGCACCCATTTGTTACGAGTCGACAAAGATAACTACAATAAAATTCTTAGAGACGTCGAGGCCAACACGATCAGACTGAAAGAAATCGGTAACGACGTTTTGATATTGGAAAAGTCACCTAGATTACACAAGTATGAAGTAACAATATTTTTTTTAATAAAATACTTAGCGCTGGCCACATCAATAAGAGTTTTTTATTGACAGTTATTCATTTTGTTAACAAAAAAAAAATGTCATGTTTAATATGTTTATTAAAATAGACGATGCTATCACAATGTATCAAAATGTTACCGCGAAAAATTAACGCTGCATGTATAGATCATATGAATGGCGTTATGCAGAAAGCAACCAACCCACAAAAAAAAAATCGAAATTTTAGTTTAACTAGTGTGGTATAGTGTATACTACACTATTTAAACTAAAATCTCGATTTTTTTTTGTGGGTTGGTTGCTTACGACATAACGTCATTCATATAAACTCGGTATAATATGTATACTTTTATAATTTAAGGTACATGATAATCGCTGGAACGCCTCAAAAGATAATGGAACATCTTTTAGAACACCGATTAAGCGCCACCAACGTTGCAGGGTCCAGAAACGATCCTTGCTTAGATGATTTTCTATTGACGCACATAGTGTTTATGCCCACTCGGACGTTAGTATCGGAACTGAACAAATAATATCCTTTTAAACGACATATACGTGTTAAAGGCGTCAATGGGCGGTTATTTTTATTTTATTAACAATATATTATTATGCATTTGAATTGTTCCTTAACCAACGTGTTTACTTATCATATGGAGAATCCCGCACAAGACAAAGAGTACACAATCAGCTGTAAGAGAAAAGTCGTACAGTTTGTATATCGCTGGGTGGTGACCATTAGACATCCGGTGTTTGACGACGTCGTCTCAATGTCGTTTCTCGAAGTAAATCCAAATTACCTAATTGTTTATCGACCGGAAAAGGTCATATTAACTTGTTCCTTGCACAGGAATTGGCCAGCGACGTAGAAGCTGACTGTCAACTGTTGGGCGGCAACAGCCAAGCTCTGCAAGAAGAAGCCAGCCTTATGCACCATATCATGTCTCGGCTGAGAAGATACCAGGACGAGAGGCTAGAGTTTTCGGGCTTGAAATGGAAGTTACCACCCGGAGGACAGCCCATCTGTCTGTTCTCGGCACTTAGCAACCCGTCGAAAAACTCCAGACCGATCATTCGACCGAACGACGACAGTAAGCATGAACTCTATAAACTGTATAATTGTTGCACAACTCAATTAAGCGGAAAAAATATAACTCTATGATTATAATATTATATATGCATTGTTACATGATACTTATTGTGTGTAAACAGTTATATTCCGGGTCTACTGTGCAGACCATACGTTTTGCACGTTGCGATTACCCATCAACGCCAGTGCTGAAACTATTAAAGTAGGGGCTTACGAAAAGTGTAGTCTTCGGCATCCCGTGCAGGATCTGAGAATTGTCGAGGTCAAGTCCACGGGCGAGAGAGTGCCTTTCAGAGATAGCGAACACTCGATACCCACGACCGTTGGGCTTAACAGCTGTATATTTTTAACGCCCAAAGATCACATGGACGCTTTGGTAATCTATAAAAATATATTATGATGGTGGCACCAATGGTAGCCGGAGCGAGTAACCAAAAACAAAATAATTTTTTCTTATCTCAAATAAAATAAAATTCTAATAAAAATATAAAAAACCTATAACAAATTTGTATGTGAATATATGACCTCCAGTTTTGTTTGATAACTCTATTATACATTGAATTTGTTTTCGTCAGAAACTTTTTCGATTAAGACTATAATAAATTACTTTTAAATTCAAGAATCACACCCTGTGTCCAATATTTCATTTAAATTAAAAAATAAATCTGAAGCAAAATAAACGATAACGTTATTATTTTAACGTATTTTCTAAAGAAAGAACAATCCAATCGTTTTTTATACGAGCAATATTATATTAAAATAAAATAACGAATATATTTTGTTGCACCTAATTATGGTATCATAATTTAAAATAAAACGTAATATAAAACATTTTTTACCCACGTGCCATATTTTTTTCAACTTACTGCTAAAGATTTTTTTTTTAACCGTTAATAACTTATTGGTATTTGATTAAGTATTTTATTGCCGTCGCCGCAATGTATCAATATATAATTAAAGCTGAAAACGAACAATGAAGTTAACCTAAACCATGTTATATGTGTTAATTTCAGACTTGTGTACCGGAACAAGAGAAATCTGAAGGGGCCGAGATATCAGCAGATTTCGATTCGCTAAGCACCAAAGAACTTGCGTATCATATGACACTTTTCGATTGGGATCTGTTTTGGAACGTTCACGAAGTATAATTAAATAAAAGTCATCTTAAAAATACTGTAGAATAATAAATATTATATAAAACAATTATTCTTACCGTTTGTTTGTTCGGTTCTAGTACGAACTAATTTATTTAACTTTCGGACGACATCGTTTCCAACAAATCACAGCCAACTTGGACGTGTTCCTAAGACGGTTCAACGAAATTCAGTATTGGGTCATCACTGAAATATGTATGTCTCAAAATATTTCAAAAAGAACAAACATACTAAAGAAAATGATCAAACTAGCTACTTAGTGAGTAAACACACCCACTGGTGTTTATAATTTGAATTCATTTAACATATTCAATTTTTTTCCTGATAAAAATTCAGTCAGCCGTTACTTACTACTACACCCATTTCTTGTACTATATTCAGAATAAATTACTAGAGCTTTGTCTCTCAAAAAAAATGATTCATATTATAACTAAGGTGGTAATTGAAATGTAACTAATTATAAAGTATAAACCATTTGAGTTTAATAGTTATCGATTTTAAATTTTAAAAACAATTATAAAAATGTTTTAAAATCATTTAGAATATAGCATTAAATTAATATCTTTGAATATGTTCAATGACATTAACTTCAAGTTATTAATTATAATTAAGTGTATTTATTCATTAAACAATTAATAGAAAACTGTAAACAGCTTTTATAACTCGGAAACTAATTCACACGACCAAATACATACGTATGGCGCTATCTGCCGTTCAACACAATGCATAAAGTTGTTTTCTATTTAAAGAAGAATATTATAAAAATACTGTTCTGGCATGAATATACTAACTACAGATTCGTAATTAACTACATAATAAAACCGTTGTAAATAAAGATTATAAAAAAAACAAACAGAAAACTCAGTAAACACTTTAAACCATGCAACATTTATCGGTTTCAAGGGGTATGCATAGAACACTAAACTAACAAAGAGGCGTGTAATATTGCCGACTGTCATAGACGTAATAAATAATAATTATGTTATCTTTTGGAAAATAATATTCAAAAAGGGTTCATAAATCAAAGTTTTAAAAAATTATAACATTAAGTAATGATATATAAATTAGTACGATCTATTATATGTATAAATGTGTAAAATTGTTTTAGATCGTTGTCTATGGTTTAGAATGCAAAAAACTAATAGTCGAAACTTTTTTTAAACTTTTTGTCTAAACATTTTTACATTTTATAAATGGCCCTTTTTTAGTATAAATGTTTTAAGTGTTAAATGTTTGAAAAGACACCTTTAAGTTAAAATTAATTCAATAAAAACGATATTTTTATGTGCTGTTTCATTTATTGTTTTTAACCCATCAAGTATATAAGTTTGTTCTCATCACGTCATTCAACTCTTTTTTTTTTTCAACACAACACGATTGTTTTTTGGTTCCAGTTGCAAAGAATATTACAATTTCAACGCTTTCTTCGCTATTTTGATGGGACTCAGTGACGTGGCTGTCAGCCGGTTGTCAACCACGTGGGATAAGTTGCCGTCTAAGTCGCGGAAACAGTTCACCGAATACGAGGCGCTAATCGATCCGAGCAGAAATCACCGAGCTTACAGGATTACCGTGGGCAAACTGCCATCGCCCATGATACCGTTTATGCCTTTACTTATCAAAGGTACGAATGCATTTTGTCAGTAAATACAACATTCATGTATAAATATACGAGTACTATAATATCGGTTAAGTATCGCCGACCGTTCTTAAAGCGGTCGACCAAATAAGTACGCAACAGCCAAAACCGGAATTATGTAAAAATGTTTGTACTTGTAGTATATTTAGGAGGTATAAACATTTCAAAAATAGCAATAAATCATCGAGGCTTTGATTTATGCATACTGGAGCGGTTATGGATTTAGTTCCAATAGTGTATATATTATTATGTTTATTGCGAGTCATTTGAAATAAATTTATAATGTACTATGCAATTTGAAAACGGTACAGCAACGTGTACTACACATAGTATTGACTTTCAGATATGAAATTCACTCACGACGGTAACAAGACCCATGTGGACGGATTGGTAAATTTTGAAAAAATGCACATGTTGGCGCAGACTATGCGGACTTTGCGATATTGCCGTGCGAGACATTTGGGTAAATATTATTACACCTATACGAGTCACCGTGTTTAGTGTTAGCAACTTAATGTATAGTGTTAACTAGAGTAATCATTGATGGTAATAAAGACAATTTTAGTGTCACGCCAATATGAATCTGCGTCCAAAAATAATGACAATCGGAGACATTTGCGGTAGTCAATGAACGTTTGGGTGGTCATTTCTGAAAATGTTCATGAATTATAATTACAGTTCATAGCATTTGTCATTTGAGGTTTCAAAAAATAAAACGTATTTTTCAAGTACTTTTAGACACATTCTGTTAGATTATGAGACAAGTCTAAAATTTGTTCTTGCCATTTTTTCGAATCCAAAATTTTGAAAATTTAAGTCTCGAGTTCGTCTCGGTGTCAGACCCAATACATGGAATACCGATTTATTTGAAGAGACATACCTACAAACACATATTATACATACACACAAACTTAACATTGTTTGAGGGGAAATGAAGTACCTACGTCAATGACATGGTTTAATTACAATGACTTCTAAAGTAAATAATACAATTAACGAAACAATGTATTTATTTTTTTTGGCTCCCTCTATCCCCCGCCAATATAAAAAAAAATACGAATTTTCCAAAATTGAATTAATAATAATGTTGACTATTAGCGTTCGAAAAGAATAAATACATAAATAAAAGAAGAATATAAACAAATAATAAAAAATCTATGAACATTTCCTACCGTAGTATCTTTTTTTTTTTGTGAGATTTGAGAGGGGTAGTTTTAAAATGCATGATACCTCCACGAGTCTTCCTAATTAGTACACCATATCATCACAAACAATATCCGTGTAACCAAACACTGGCCATGCCTTTCATAGGAGTTCATCTCTTGACACATTCGTTAATACTTATTTCTTTTTTTTTTTTTAACATTTCCAGTGCTCGAACCTCCAATTTCCAAAAACGAAGCCGACGTCAAAGCGTACGTGAGTTGTCTGCGATGCATAAACAACGAAAGGACGCTGATGAGCATGTCGCAAAAACTGGAGCCCAGGAGAACCTAAGAAAAATGTCTTCACTGACCCTCGTTCACTGCCGGGTCGTTATAAATGTGTTTGGAAAAATCCCTTTGTTTTTGCCAAATTTGTGTTACAAAGTGTACAAAAAACAAAAAACAAACGAGCCACAGAAAACCTTACCTTTGTATATTTTCCCGCGAACGATTAGCCGTGCTTATATATACATACAGGGTTGAAGGATACGTCGGAGTAGTTAAGTTTTATGTTATTCTCTATAAATATTGTAAACGCGTGCACAAAAATGTCAGGACAATCAGAGACTGTACATAGTGATAAATGATAATCATGGGCGGGCGGCTGAACAAAATAAAATATAAAAATAATATTATTGCAATAAAACATTTGAATCGTTCAATGTAAATATCGTAGATTCGATAAACACGACGATTAACATAATATATTATAAATGTACTTATCAAAGTACAGTGAATATCATTTTATTAATCCTTGTCCACATTATATTATTATTTTGATGGTAACTATATCATTGCGGATATAATAACGTTGTATTTAATTTTACTCATAGGCGGCTGTAAACCAAAGAGATGTCGTCATAACACCATTATAAGTACTTAAAATTTCTGAAAAAAGTCATTTAACTATAAAAAGTTTAAATTGTGTTTTATTGTATTAGATGTATAATATTATTACGTAGAAGAAAGTATCGTCGGTAGGAATTTTATTAAAAAACATATTTCTTTTGAAAGTAACAGAAACAAAAATAGTAGGTATAAGTTACAACTTTTTCAAAAACACATTATGGATCATACAGCGTTTACCAATGCAACATTTTTCTATATGTGTATGTGTCATAATTTTTCATACATTTTTGAAAACGATATTGAACAAACCAACTATTGAACGTAACCTATAAAAACTTTTATTGCTTTAATTTCGCTCATTTGTAATATTTTATAAACATCAATTATACCCTATTGATCCTTACCGCTTAATTTTTTTAACAAAACAGTGCCTGTCTATACTTTTGGCGTTCTCAAAATATATTTGATATATTTGAACAGTTCAGACAGCGCCGAGTTGTATTTTTTTACTCATTCAAACCATCATTTAAAATTGTATTTATACATAGAGTTATTGCTGTTCAGAATACCTACTTTTTTATATTTAATTTATTTAGTGAGAGGTTTTGATTAAAACCGATTCAACAATTCTAATTTAAACTTACAAGGTTTTTAGTCACTCCTTTCTCCCAAACTACTGTCAATGTTTTGTTCAAATTATAAGTAAGTTAAAAATAAGTAAGTGGAAGTTTTAAAAGAATGTTTAATTCATAATTTCATTTCGAAAACCTTTGAAACTGCGGACTTTGCGTTTTAAGTATGTTAATGTAAATAACTTCAAAATATATATGCTATTAAAAAACACATAATCGACGTCGTACGTTCACGTTGATATTTCGTAATCGTCTTGATAGGCACTAGCATAATATTATCTAGTCTATTTTAAAATATTATAATAACGATTGTTAGTGTGCTGATGCAGTGCAGTGTTGGGTAAGTAGTCACTTTTTATTAGCATATTACTCTTTAATTAGGAAATGAGCAAACTAACAAGTTATTCTGGATTTATGAAATTAAAAACCGTACAAAATAATATTATTTTTTTTATACAACGATATGTTAACGTTGTCGTTATGTAAACCGCATTATATACGTTTTTAATATAAAATATTTTTAATCTTAAAACTGTAATTACTATGATCCAAACTTATTTTTTTTTTTTGCAAATATGTATGATAAGCCTAAGATCTTTCCAAAATTCTTTTGGCAGGTTTAATATTATTTTAATGCAGAATACTAAATTTGTATGCAGGATTGGGAAGATCGTATAGTGTCTCGTAGGTGTTATATTAATGTATGTACAACGAACAATTATGAAGATGTTATTTCGCAAATATTAAGCCTGTCCTAAAGTCACTTAGTTAATATTTAATAATACTTCATACTTTAATACAACCAAGTTACCATATAATTACGTTACTGAAAAAGCCTAGCCTGCATTGCATTACTGTATATTAAACACAACACTGGCACTAACAGCTGTATAAAACGATCTTACTATTTTATGAACAAGTCGGTAGTATAATTTGTTCTTAAAACTTAAACCATTTGTCGTGATAACTATGGGTCCACTTTCCTATTTATTATTATTATTATTATTAAATACATTTCTTCTAGTTTTCGTTTCTACATTCTTCCATTTAAACCATCGGATGGCAAATAAATAATTTAACACCACAAACATTTTTTGACAAAGAATTTTTTATTACATTAGATCTTTGTTGTTATATGTGTAAAGACGCCCTTTTGTCCGGCATCGTGCTACAGTAAATACAGCAATAAATGTTTTATTACTTCAATAATAATTATATAATTATATTAATTACAATAATAAAAATCTTGTTGTTTCTTCTAGATTATAAAACATTTTTCTATACCTTTTTATATGCGAGTATATAATACTTATTATTATAATTATTATTAAGCTACACTTGTTTTTCTTTACTTATTTTTTACTAATGTAAATTCGTACTTTTATTAAAATAATATAATAGTTTTTTTTTCTAAGAGTCATTATGTTTGTTAAATTAAAAATATAAAAAATATTTATATTTTGTTTGATTTTATTAAATATATTAATTATACTTATTATATTTTTGTGTTTGAACTTTGGACAGTTTGTGTTTTAAAATAAACGAAAATGTCATTTGTTTTTTTCATAATAATATTATTTTATTATAATATATGTAATATACGATACATTTGTCTATTATTATGTATTTAAATATCTGATTAAAATTATTTCGTAAAGGGTTATTCAATATTATTTTAAAACATATAATTTAAATTTAATATATTATTAAAGACTTTGTTGAAAAACAATAGGTAAAAGTTTATGAATCTCAACATATACTGTAATATTTCTAACCAGGTGTGGTTGACACTGTCAAATTTTATATTAAAATAATGTGAAATTTTTTACGGAATTCATAACTGGTTTCAGAATTAATGTAGATTAATGTTTACTTTTTTATCACAAAAGAAAATGTTGTGATAAATAAGTATTTTTGTTATTTTGTTTTGCTTACAACTTGGGAGGCGTTTTGAAAAATAAATTAACGCACTAGAGAAATGATGAGTTCAGATTCGGACTCGGTGATAGAATCCATACATAACGTAGACGTTTTGGTATTAATTGTTCCACAGATACTTTTAAAGCAAATGCACTGCAGTTCGAACCATTGTAATACAATTAATGTACAAGTTGTGTAAATTTACGTTCAAATAGAATATTATAAATTTACATGTTACATATGATATAATACAACTGTTAGTTGTCAAATTTTAATTTAACAGTTTGTATCTAATATCTTCAAGGAACAGTGAATTTTGTCGAGTTATTATTAAATACCTAGTATATTACAATATGCCAATCAGTTATTATGTAAATCATACTCTAACAGGTGTGTTGGGTCAGACATACGCCCTAACATAGTACGTTTTGTCGTGTTTATCATCTACAACACTACATAGTGAATATTTTTAACATTATATATATATATATATATATATATATATATATACATATTATATACATGTATAATATAACGAACACCGGCGTTAGATTTAGCCTCTTAAACTGGATACGATCGTTTAGAATCTAGACTTTTCAGATCGTAAATCAAAAATAATAACAAACTAATTATTTAGATACTGCTGCGATATACATTCATAATACACTCGGCACGTAGTTTTAGTAAAGCGAAATTAAACCGTCGTATTTGACATTTAACGCTGCTAACGACCTCAGACCCTACATAACGAATGTTGTGAAAAAAAAGGAACTCGTATGTAAACATTGTAAACTCGTACACTCACACAGGCCGTATTTTATTTCACAAAACCAAAACTTGCATTTGGAGTATTCATTTACCGGAGCAGGTAGATATTATGTAGGTATATACACACGCAAATTTAAATATTATAATAACAAAATACTTGCAAAGCAAAACAACAAATGCATTCTAATCCACAACATTATGGCTGCCCACCGTTGGCCGTCGGGAGTGTTCATAAATTGTGATACATCGGCTCGAGAATAATAATAAATATTGTTATTAATGGGCAATAACGTTAATTTATAGTTTGGTTCAAACAAAAAACGAAATATAGTTGTACATGATACAAAATGGTAAGTATACATTATGATAATATTATAATATATCCGCGTGAGCAGACTTCCTGAACAGGGTTTAAAAGACAAAAAAGGACCAAGTTGTTTCCACATTGGGCTAACCTAACCTAATCTGGTAAAACGGCTATGCTTTTAGCTTTAAAAATTCGATCGGTGGTAGATACCCACTTAAAGTCAGTGACCGTTTGTGGTTGCAGCTTTACACATATAGTCGGGCAGCGACTCCGGGCTTCCAGCTGTTGATGCTGTCAAAATAATAACATTGTAAGGGTTATATGATTCAATACTAATGCAATCTAATATATACTCTACATAATAACTTAATATTACCGTTGGCGGTTTAATCATTTACATATGCCGCGTTAGTGAAATGTAATAACTAATATAGTATAATGTATTATATTTATACACTCACGATTCTCTTTAGAATTCCAAACAAGTCGTTTAACCTTATTAAGTTATTTTAATGAACGTCGCTCGTCGTTTAATTATTTAGACCTAGTTTATCGTTAGTGCAACCGCAATAGAATATCATATTTTTCTTTTTCAAATCCAGTGTATAAAATTATTACACATAAAAACTAGTTTGGAAAAATAAGTAAATGCTAATAATGAGAAACGAAAGATTTTTAGTGTTATAGATTTTCAATTTTACAGACAGATTTTCAATACTCAAACTCGAAAAGTCAAAGTGTGCCATATCATGTATTAAGGTTGAATAATATGTACATTTTTTTTTATTTTAGTATGTTCTGACAAATTTTGTATAATTCCATTCAGTTCGGTTTCGTTGTTTGTGTCCTTTCTGCATTTCCTGTTATTTCACCTTTGATAGCCGACGACCCGAGCACTCCGGATGAATTGGCTTCCCCGAAGTACTGCAACACAGCTGTGAGGACGAGACAATTTTCTTAGAGGATAATGACGAAGAAAATCTTCCATTGGCAACTGTTCAGTCTGAATGTCATTTGATCAAGGAGACCGCTTGGGCCATTTAATAATCTCTGTTCCGATCGCGCTGGGTAAAGTCGTTTCATATCAGGACCGCAACTAGGAGACAACATCAAATGAACACACACGTACAATATAATATGTTTATGGCAAAGGGCGGGGGAAGTTGTGTGCTGACGTCTTAAATCACTCGGTGATTTTGCTTCTGAAGTTTTAAAGTCCATTTATTAATTGCTCTAACAAGTTTTCTTTTAGCTCTGTAGTTTTTCCAAAGACATTTTTTATTTTTGTGCCGAATCACAAGATATTTTCAAAAACGCCAGACCGATTTCTTTAGATCGGACTTGTACCGAGAATATACTTTCCATGGCCTAAAATAAAACAAATTACCCTTTCCAATTCAAAATTGAAAAAATGTAGGTACAATTTTTAATAAAAATTACAAGCGATAACTTTTAAAAAACGGTCGAATTATGGCTACAAAACTGTGTGAGATATACTACTACTATTGTGTTAAGGTTAAAAGAGGGTCGCACCGGTGATTTTCGATGATAAAAACATGTTTACGCCAACTGAAAATAACTCGCTAAAGTAAAACCACCCATTATAAAATTAAAAGAAAACAATATTACGGAGGGCACCACGGTGCGTTTTTAAAAAAAAAATCATTTTTTTAAAGTTACAGTCATTTAAACATGTTAAAATAGTCGTTATTTCTAAATGATGAATTGAGCGTTATACTTGGAATAATAAAAAAACCGCACCGTGAGTGCTTTTACTCTAAAACCAAACTTAAGCGAATTATTTTCAGCCTGTTTAAACATGTAGAGATGAAAAAACATTTTTAAATCACTTTCAAAGATGCTGTGAAAGTCCGAAAAATAAATTACTGCCAAAATAGAGTCCTAGTCATTGAACTAATAATTACACATTGCAGTTTAACCTTTAAATTAAGATTTTGTAAAAAATTGCCTATACTTTACTCCTTAAAAATGGGCGGCGCGACGCGCTCTTAAAAAAGAAAAAGAAATATCACCAACTCTTTCTCCAAGAAGAGGTAGAAACTTTTCCTTTATTTCACTTGCCTTAGGTGTAGCTTTGAAATTTAGACAGAAGCTATAACTAGTGTACCTTATAAATTTCACAAAAATATACAGTCCAATTATTTTTGTTTGCAAAAAAACAAAAAATAAACTAATAAATAACAGTTTGAATAAAATTTAATATTGTTACCGGTGATATTTACCTATTTTAAAATGTGTTGATATTTTTGTATTTCCACAGAGTGATCAACATAGACACATTATTATTTGTTTAATAATAGTAGTACTTTAGTTTTTCTTATTTTCTTTGATAATAGTTTTATTAGTTTTTTTTTTTATATTTCAAATTTACAAATCAATCAGTAACAACCAACATTTACTGAACATTTTGATCAGTAAATTATTCTAAAATTAAATAGTTGATAAAATACAAGCGTTGTCGTTAAAAAAAAAATATTTGTATGGAGAATAGGGTAACTTAAAAGTCATATACGACGATTAACGTTCTCCGTTATTTGCTTACATTTATTTTTTACATTGTTCAATGTTTCTTTCCCTTTAAAGACGTATCGTTTAATTACAATTTTTTTTTTACACATTTATTGTTGTTTTTCTATTTGTTTCTCACGTTTAGTTTTGACACGGAGCTGAGAAGCTATTAATATTACGATTATGCGTGTTTTTTATTTTTGTGTCTATTAAACTGTAGTACATCCTATCAGTACTACGTGCTGTTTTTATATTTTTGCAATATTGTTGGTATTTTTTGAAGAGCGCATTTCTATTATTTTCTATTGTATTGCTACGGTAGTTTGTGAAGATTTTATGACGCGATAATAACCAAATTTACATTATTTGTACATTATTGTATGAGTGTATTTGATACAGTAAATGAAATAATTTTTTTTTTATTATCACCAGAATATATATTGTTTTTACACTATAATGGTACCTAATTTACATATCTCATCATGACATTTTTGGATACTAATATTAAACAATATTTTTTAAATCATAGAAGACCCAAAAATATTTTTTTCATAATTAATTAATAATTGGTTTAATGTATTATTAACGACAAAACAGATATGTAAATAAAAATAATTATTGGAAACGAATTGGACATAAATTGCATAAAACAAAATTTAAGACGTCCAAATCGAAAATAATGTCCAACCAATTTAAAAAAGAATACCGATTGAATGCGCTTTCTAGGGGAGCACCAATTTTTATCTTCTCTGGAGCTCCGAGCTGCCACGGCCTCGATACTCTGTATGTAGTTTATGATTATCATATTGTATTCATGCAAGCCAACAATAACGAGAAACAATGTTTTTGATAAGGAATATGTAGAGTAAAAGGACAGTTAACGAGAGGTAAAATATGTAATCAGCGAAACAGATCTTGCGTCACGAGACAAACGAACACTTAACTAGATTAAAATAAGATAGTATAATAACGTAGAGAAAACGCATTCAATAATAATTATTGTCGCGAAGTGCGGCAATCGACTCTGAATTCAATTTTATCTAATTATTATTATTTATACCATTGATAAGATTAAGTATTTTCATGATGCTATCCAGTATCCACCCTATATCGGCGTTGTACCTGTCGTCAACGAATCCAGTCTCTCGTGACGAAACATTTATAGGTATTGATGTTTCTGTTTGGGCAGAGATGTATTTTTGCAAACGTTTCTTTAGGGTCATAAAAGTACTTATGTCAATGAGTATCTAGTGCATTATTACTTATAGTTAGTAAAGTACCGACCTTACACGCGTGTCGTCCTTGAAAGAATCGCACGGACAATGTGTACTAGATAGGTCACATACTATAATATATATTTACACATACAAAACGGCAAGTACGCGATTATCGGTATTGTGTTTCTTTTTAGGGGTCAACCGTCAACGAAGCTTTTAATGACCGCTGATAAAATATATCAACAGGGCAGTAAAACACTTGAAGAAAAACAAAATTTCAGCAGTGATCCGGTAGTGCTAAAAATCATAAAAAGCAGAGTTGCGCAAAATTTAATTAAATAAGGAACTTCGTTCCAATAACGAATAACTAAAACTAATCGAATAGCGTTTAGATTGAAGTAAAAAATCGATTTTTTTATTAGGAAATTGTCAATGTTATGTGGGAGTGCATACCTATAGTTGGCAAACAAAATATATAAATTATTTAATAGTATTTAAAATTTGTATACATATAAAAAGATATTAAGGATAGTTATATCAATTTGTTTTTCATATTTTTTCTAACTCGAATCCAACTTTTAATCGAATACATTTTACATTTATCCGGATAACTGGTCTGTTGAATAGAATTAATTATAATTTTTTTTTCACGCAGAATTGTGTGCATTATTGAAATAAAGTTAGTCTAATTCTAAAATTCACTTAGATTCCAAATCATTTTTTTATTTTATACTAAGTCTTCGACTGCGGCGAACAAGATGCTGGCTAATAAAAGAATACATGTTCACTCCTGCCCTATCGCCCCAATCGGTATTCCAACTACGGGAATTGCGCAACTTACCACAGTGACTCTGTGTGCGACACTCGAAGAACTCGGCTTGTGGATTGCGTTTTATATAAATTTATTGATCGAGCGCGATAATAGCTGTACAAACCCGAATCGGTGACATTTGTGTGCCGCGTTTGCCGTGTACCCGCGGCGGTAGTACCATCTCTATAGGCTTATATATTGATCCGGCACTTCAATCGCAATACAACTGACTCGTCGACTCGATCCAATTAAAAAAAAACGCTCATTATCTATTATCGTTACGTTGCAATCGACCGTGAATCCGCCGGTGAACCGATATAACGACGATTCGGTTGTAATCGGTATAGGTATATATAGCATATTAACTCCACACGCTGGTTTGTTTGACGTTCAAGAGGTTGCTGCCAGTGTATCGGGGTCAAGCGTTTTCATTATAATACTCTTTGGTAGACAGTATTACAAATCTTTGCTCTATATATTATATTCCCGTAGAGTGCGCATCCGCGTTTAGCGGCTATATATATTTTAGCATTGTACATGCGACATCGACGGCAGTGTAAACATCTGTAAATACCAATGAAAATCCTCTTTCTCGAACACCGCCAGATCCTCTAACACTTGCCGTATAAAAGTACTTGAGCAACGCATTTTCTACACGGTCGACTTGCCCCCCAAGTACAGTGGTTACACATAGTCGTCGTAAGTTTTGTACAATATCCAAAACACGCTGAAATCATTACCTCTAACTGAAATCGACGGATCACCTGAAGTTGTACTCGTGCAAATATAATACTAAAATATATATATATATTTTTTTTTTCAATTTCCTCACTATGTGTAGGTACTTGTATGGCTTGTACTGTTAACTGTTCACATTAACGTTACGTGTAAGTTTTACAGAAAAAAAAAGCAACAACTCAAAATGACTTTGCTAATATCCTAACAATAACGACGTTATCATAATTTTTACGGCCGGTATAATCAACATAAGCTTACATGTTTATGTCCTCCGAAGAATTACTTCTAAATTAAAATGTTAATGTACAGGGTGATCTATTTTTTTTATGAAAATTAATTATATTTTCGTGTTTTTTTTTCAAGAATTTTGTTTGTCTTATTTCACAAAATTATAATATTAGGACCAAATAATTACTTTCTTTAGTATTTTTCAGAACACTATAAGCTTTAGCTAGCCAGTAACGTACATATTTAATTAAATTTTTTAATTAAGCATAATTTACTGAACATTCATATACATCTCAGGGCAAATAAATAAGTACATCATACTTTTAGACTAATTTGTTTGGTAAAAAGCAATACCATTATTATAATTGTTGTTACTCTTTTTTTTTTTAAGTATTAATTGAAATAAGTCAACGTTTACTTAATTTTTACTCTCTGGACTAAATAGTATTTTTGTATCCTAAAAAGTGTATTTTTAAAGTGGCTTAAAAATACAGTACCTACTGTAAATTGTAAAACCGAGTTCAATATGTAATAAGAAGTAATAATAAGAAAATACATTATATATTTTGGTATTATATTTTAATTGCACCTTTGATAAAGATAGGATTATTTTAAGGAGAATCAGATAATATTATGGAATAAAAAAGTGCAGGTATATAAATTATTGCTCGTAAGCAGCTGTATAATAGTTTTTTTTTATACATTTTACATATTATTAAAAAGAAAAGAAAATCAAACGAAAAATGCCTTACACAGAACGCAAAAATATCGTCTTAATGATAACAAAATCAATAAATCATGCGATTTGCATTTAAAATTGCACTTAGTCAGCCCAGATTATCCGAGAAAATTTTCATTTTCCCCTATAATTCCTTAATAATTATATAAAAAAATACATTTACATTTATATATGTACTAACAAATCGCTTTCAACATCAACAGTCCATAGATGATAAACTATATAATAATTAATAATTTATATAATATGTAATATAATACGAACAAAAATAAATACGGACAAAATATTATGTCTTTTGAGTAGAACTAATTGTTTAAAAAATTGGTAAGCTAGAAACGTCAATAAATTCTAATTAAATTAAATAAAATTTCAACAATATTTTTAAATCGCATTACTGCAGCAAACAAACTAATGAAAGATAACACAGAATCATATATAGAAAAAAAAACCAAATACGTGAAATGATAACTGCTAAAATTATTATAAGGCACTGGATGTAAATGTATAGTAAAACATAATATTTCGTAAACGCGTAACATTGAGCATCGGCCGACCAAAATATTACCATATTTTATCATTTATTTCTATTTATTCAATTTAATATAAAATATATTTAATGTATTCATAATAACAATGAATTTACATACATAAATTACAAAATAACCCTTAACGTTTACGAGATACATTAATAATATTATATTATAATAAATTCTTACAACAACAAAAAAAAGAACTAATACAAATGAATAACATACGCGAGAAAAAATATGGAATCATGTTAACAATATCATACCGAGTGTCCGTCGACGATTTAACACATTTTAGTTGTTTGTCTTGAGCTCGAGTTAAGACGCCGTGTATTATGTACAATTTATATTATATCATAACAAAACGAATAAATCGTCTCGATACACCACGTATAATATTATCATATTGTGTTTGTAGTATCGACTTAAAGACATAACAATACTGTTCGTACGACAAAAATGCGGTCCGATTGAACGCGAACGACGACTTCGGGAAGACGTTTAGAGGTGTCGTCTTGTTGACGGCCAAAGACTTCAAAATAGAGCTATTAATATGATGTCAGACTCGGCCTACAAACGTTGGCGTTTTGAATAATAATCGTTTACTTATCAATCGAATTCGCTGGTTCAAACAAATAATATAAACTAATGTCGTCGCCAATGCTGTAGCCGCGTCAGGATCCATAACAACATCGGCTGTTTATCACGATCCAACGTTAAAATACTGTTAGTGGACGGACGTTTGATGAAATTCAACAATAATAACAACAACACAACAACAACAAAACTAAGACGAGTGTCCTCCCATAGGGCTCGGGGTGGCTCTGCGGACGTGTGGTTGGGCCCCGTGACAGTGAGCGCAGTGCATGCAGACGGCGCAGTTTCCAAGTTTTTGAGCCAAAACCGCCCTGAACTTGAGAGCCGGACCCAACTTCATGTTCATGGTGCCGGTCAGGTGATCCTCGCTGAGCAGCGGCAGTGCTGTGCCGTCGATCGACTGATCTCGAAAACACTGCAAAAACAAAACAAAAACATGTTAATTATTTTGATGTCGTGTATTTTATTCTATGCGGGTACATTATAATATGTAATGATCATAATACACCTAACGCTTTCAATGTATATCTTGTGAACGCAAAAATTAGTTTAATATAAACAATGTATGGAACACACATGTACCAATTATTTTTTAATTAAACACTCGCTGTATACAATTTACATAAAATTATTTTAAACATATTTTCCCATCGTGTGTGGATACAAAATATATTATAATTCTGGTCTTAAGAGCAAATCGATTATATAACATAAAATTATTGATAAAAAAATAATAATGATGAAAATGTAGCTTTTTGCGTTACTTAAGATGATCTATCGTGAGAAAAATAAAATAAGACCACAAACAGCTAGAACGTAACGGAAAAGGTCTTAAATCTGTCGTATAATATGTTATTAGAGTACTATGTCTGCAAACTGTCTCTAAATTGAACGAGTTTCCCTTTTAAATCGTTTCAGTCCGCTTGCAATCAAAATAATGTTATAGTGCAGTTGTTCTATCCATTACAGCACGACGAGAGAGATCCGGATCATTTGATTTCCACTCTTCTCCTTTTGACATTATATTATTATTAAATTGCCCATTATAGTATAAATGTCATCGATGTAAGAAACCCGTGACCTTATTTTTGTTCATAATTTTCTCTAAATAATTGTACGTTCCCACGTGCGACACATAGTTTATAATGAACTAGCCAACCTTACGTAAGCGATGTAGCATTCAAATATCGTTAAGTGTTATCATTTACATATTTATATATGCAAACAGAAAGACTAAGAGGAGCATAGGGGTCTTGGCTATCTGGATCGTAACGTGTTCAAATATCGGTAACCTAATTGCATACAATATTTATAAATTTCAGTGTTCCAAAACAGCGTTTTTAAAAAGTATTAATCTCAGAAAATGAGTACATAACACTGTTTTTTAACAAATATAATAGCCAAAGATTCCTGTCTTGTTTAAGTTGACCATTATGACAACACGTCCCAAGACAACTATTTAGAACGTTCATGCATAGACAGATAAACTATTCTTTTGTTGTACAACTCAAAAATGTATTATACTTGGTTTTTTTTTGTTAATTACAAATAAAATATTGATTTTACTACCTCAATATTTTTCACAACATATTTTTTACAATACTGTTTAAAATAGGTTACGATTTGTTTGAAGAGAGTTGATTTAACATGACAAACGTAATTTAACAAAAATAATTTGCCCGTTTCTGGTTAGTGTGTAGAGTTTAAATCTAATGACGACATACATACAAATCGTTACGGTTAAAACACAAAAAATATTCTAAAAACAAATAAAAGAAATCTTTTGGATATTTTTAAATTTGTGTCACAGAGTAACTTATTTCAGTAACCGACCTCGTATGCCTTACGATTACCAATGAATTTTAAGTATAGTATTTTTTATGGTTTAGAAAAACGCAAATCTTACATGAACTCAAAATGGTTAGGGGGGGGGGAGTTAAGGAGCTAAGGCAAGGATATCGAGGTGAATTTGTACGACGAATTATGTTTTGAGATTTCAATCTGATAGGCGGGCACGACGTCCGTGCTCTATTTATCTATTATTACATCTGCAGACGTGTCCAGGCACAATGCACGCCACTATAAACACATATAATACGACGATGATCGGTCGCCGCGGTCACAGGAATAGCGTAGCTCACCGTTTATTATTATTATTATTATTATTATTATTATTGTTTGTTTGGTTTGCAAGTGGCGGCGGAGCGCGGTCGCTTCCTCGTCGACGTTGGCGGCGCGGCGGCGGTTGCTGCCGCTGCGACGGCCACGTCTCTCACGCGCCGGTGAAACCGTCAAGTCTGACCTTTAACACTGACCTCGCCGGGATCAAGGACTGCCGACCGGGCGTGCGTGGCCGTTGTGTGTCGTGTGTTTTCCTCAAAGTCGGACGTGCGCGCCCGTACGGAGGCGGCGGAGGAGGCGAAAAGGTGGAGGCCACATTCTTGGTTCAGCCCGCGGGGCCCCGAGGGCCACGGCTGCCGCCGCCGCCGCCGCAGCCGCTTGTTGCCGCGGTCGTCCCAATCAAAACCAGATCATCAACTGGTTGTTGTAATACTAGTCTTCGCCATAACCGCGTTGGCATTACATACCACCTGTATATAATATTCTTATGCAGCAGCGGCGCTCCCACCGTTTTGGCATCACCTATAAATTTGGACGTCGCTTGCTACCACTTTAATAATATTATATATCAATACAGTTACCGCGGTAGTAACTTTTTCCGCTGTAGAGGTTCAATATTATTCAGAAGCGTGAACGTTGACATGAAGATATCAAAAACCGGATTTTTTTCCCAATTATTATTTTTCCATCACACTATACTATGTAATAAATAAAATGATAATTTCGTATAGAACATAAAAAAAAATACCAGTATTTTATCGACTCCGGATAATATCAAAATGTTAGCAACGCACTAAAAGTATTTAAATACGAGTCGTATTATAGGTATTCGTGTTTTTCACACACCCAAAAAATTACTGTACATAAACAGGGTTTACAGTTGGGGAAAGTGTGTGTTTAACGTTTTACCCTTAAACAGTAATTATTTTTTACAAACAAATTAGTGAAAAAAATATTACGGAGTAATAAATATTTTAGGAGATTTTTTTATTTCCTACCACTCGTTTTTTGTTGTTATAGTTTCGTTTATTTTGTATTGATATAACACAGATGTTAACTGATAAAATTCAGTTATTATTCCAATTTTTCTGTTTATCAATTACTTTTTGGAGAAATAGTTCGCGCTTATCATTGTAAATGAGTTATATAAGTTTTTTAAGGTAGGTCAGCCTTAATTTTGCTCGATAATAATTATCATAAATTATGATTAAATTATAGTAATTATACAATTATGATTATTGTTTAAACATTTTTTAGTCTTGGTCGCGGTTCGCTCAGACAAAGTTTGACGGGAAACCGTAGGTTGTCGGAATAGGTACATATATGATGGTTTGTGGTGCCTGTCCGACAATGTCGGTACATAAAGCTGTTGTATAATAATAATAATATTATTACAGTAGGATATATCTAAATTCGAGTGGGCGGTCGTGGTAATAAACACGGTGTAATACAGTGTCTTAAACAATGGACTGTAAATTATTGTCACCCCGAAGAGGGCGCGCAGTAAAACGAACACCGCTGAAAGACTTTGGCGATTTTCCTATAATTATTATTGTATATTTTACTCGCAACACAATAATATGATAATTTACATCTGTCGATAAAAAAAAAATTAGCCATAATAAAAAATATCCTAACGGTATTCAGAGAACAGAAGGACAAATTATTCGATCATTAATTCCGGGAATACTCATTTTTTTATTTAATGTTTAAATAAACTAGTTGGAAAATGTGTTAATTGAATTTTGGCACAGGTAAATAATAATATCCTATAATATTTTAAGTTTGACTTATTAGTTAATATAAACTGATTAAATCGAATTCCTAATGAATTGCATATTTTTTTTTTTTTTTTTTATAATAAATAAAATAATATACTAAACAGTCACTCCCAAAAAATAACGTATTGTCACTCTCGACAATTAACAACAATAGCTGTTGGTCTTTGCACGTTAGACGTTAAAATCAAATCCGACGTTTTTCACGGTCTACGGTGTTGTGTACCACGCACGACCGCCTGGGTTGTGGTCAACTTTTTTTTAACGTTCCATGACGTTTCCCCTTGTTTTATTATTATCTATTTTATATATATATATATATCCGAGTCGGGCACTATACGATTATTTCGGTTTCTTTATATTCTTATTATTATTTTTTTTTTTTTTAAAGTTACATTGTTGTTATTTTTTTTTTTTTCTAACGACGTTACAAGACGGACACGGTCAGCAGGAAATGCCAGGACGCGCGCAACAACCCGTGAATCCACCGGACAGTGACGACTGAGAATTTTTCATACACAGCTATCTTATAATACAGTACCTCTATCTTCCCTTCTTCTACATAATAATAATTTTTCTTCGTGACCCCAGAACGACCCCGACGGCACGTAATTACACTGCCGGTGTACCCGCCGACTCCTCCTGGTCGTCGCCGTCGTACTCCCCGACAGATTACCGCCGACTATCGCCTCGTCACCCCGAAGCAAACCGAGTACAAACAACGCACAACCATAACGACCGTCGCCGCACCTGTATGTATATGTAAGTATATTGTAATATGCTTGGACGGTTCGGATGATCGCGTGCCGGCCCTGAAGCTATTGCCGTACCGGCTTGGACCGTGTAATTTTCGGTAACTGTTATTTTCCAGCACGATTTTGTCCGCGTGACAGCAGCCCCAACAGCTTTTTTTATATTGTATATATTTTTTTATCGTCTACCGAAAATCCGACCGGGTAGGAGACGGATCGCCCGTAAGCTAATGTAATTCTGTGATTTTTTTTTTACTTTTTTCAAATCATATTATCCTTGGGTATTGCGTGGTATACACTTTGAAGCTGTGTGCAGTGTGTGTATGACGGGCGACGGCATCTACCGTTGTAGTTTCTTCGACGTTTACCGATCAGGTGGTTTTCAGTGCCCCGGAGACAACGTAAATCTCGATCAACGGCACGAAATTATAATATTATTATCTTCTGGTGTGGCCACAAATATACCGTAATATATTATAACCGTATTGCGCTATTATAATAATGTCCAACTTCGGTCTGTTCGATAATATAAATGTCCATTTTGTTTTGGAACAACAATAATAATTTATTCGAATTTCCCCGGATACACCGCCAACGCGATCGATCGCTCGAGAAGTGGTTTTCTTCCGTCTTATATAATATTATTATACGTTTATAAGACGTTTTCTGTTCAACCTCATAATAAAAACACTATTAATTGACCGGAGAAACGGTCCGCGGGGCGTGAACGCGAATTTGGTTCAATTAATAGAAAAAAGATAATT